AATAGGCCAGTCAATAATAATGTTGTTTGAGAAGGATTGAGTCATGAGGGAGATGAACCCTCCCTGCCATTTATTATGTTTGTATTGTCTTCATTTGAAAAGATATTTTTTTTTTTTCTTCCCCAATGAGGCAGTGAGTGAAGGTATTAGGAGGGGAGGGCTACTCCACATCCCCATCTCCACAAGTCCTCTGGCTCCCAAGTGTGTTAGCATGCAAATAGAGGGGAGGGAAGCAAAGTGGCTGTCTGCTAGAGGTGGCAGGGGACTGGGGAAAAAGACAAGCTCAGGAGGCAAGAACACTCCTCCCACTACTCTAGATGTCTTTTAGAAAATAAAAAAAAAAAAGGAAAAAAAGAAAAAAAACTCCAGCTATGTCAAAATCATACCTCCTAAGAAGCATGACTTCAGACAGCTGTGCAGCCTTGTGTGAATTGGTACAAGACACAGATATAACATTGGAACCAAAGAGCAACCAACTTCCTCTGCAGACAATGCAGCCTCTAGATGTTTTTCCACTGAAATTACCAGTGTACATGAATAAATAAAATAAAATCCACATATACTAGCAACAGATTTCGTATCCTTGTGATTCTCAGCTTTGGTTCTCAAGTTTCCTTCTCAGACCCCTGAGGATTCAGGGGTAACCATTGAGAACTCGCTGACAAGAGGTTGAAAGTTTCAGTACAGTGATCTACACCTTTACTAGGAAAGTGAAAGGCCAACAAATAAAAACTGAAGATCAGTTATAGCTTTTTTATCCTTGTAGTCATAATTATAGTACAATTTTAGCATACACAAGTGACTACCATAACATTGATAAGCTGATTGATATAACTGCACAATGATGTAGCTTAGAAATCATAAAATAATTTTTAGACACAATTTTAACTCAGCTGCTCTACCACACAGATACGTACACAGCCCCTAATTATTCTGCATGTCAAATGATACAGTTCCACTTACAGGCAGCACTACTTATTTTAAGACTTGTTCACATGGCCAAAAAGGCTTGAAAAGCTTCTCCACAGTAAGCTGATCTGAGGCAACCACTACAGGATAGTTCTCCAAGCGTTCCCAAGGGCACAGATTATTATTTTGGAGTAAAGAGTACCCATGGAACAAAGTGCAGGAGGAGAGTCTGTGGTCTACTGTTTTGATGTTATAAATGAGAGACGCTATTTGTCCTTCTCCCTCTCTCTCATTGGACAATTGCTACACCGTGATGCCCTTCATCTTTCTTAAAACAGCACTATAATTTGTATACCTGCAGTGCTCCCTGTGTAGGATGAGCAATCACGTGGAGCCTTTGCACCAGAGCACAGAATCCTCCTTTTCAAGCTGCTTTACTTGCCTTGCCCTTGCAGAAGAAGGTTACCAGACTAAGACCCTGCCCCAAGAGCACTTTTCCACCTAATAGCACCAAGGCAGGACACTGTGCCTAAACTTTTCCCTAAATACACTAAAGGAGCTCCTCTGAAAGTCGGTTGAGCAGCACCTCACATCCAGGAGAGGAGCTGAGTTCTGCTGTCTCCTCCACACTGGCACTGCACCACCAGATACAACTGAGGACAAATAAAGCCTCTGACCTGGCCAGCTTGCTGCTGGTGGCACGGGGAACGCCGAGGATGCCATGGCACAGTCGGGGAACAATTCTGTGCAGCTTGCAGTCAGTGCCTCCCCTAGCCCTAGAAAAACTCCTTTCCAAGGAGAAAACTGCAAGGAAAAACTCTCCCTGTACGGGAAAAAGGTTTTCCTTTGTTGCTCATCCTCTGCAAGGAAAAATGATTCATGTCTTCATATATTTTAAGCTAGAACTGGATATTATAATCATGTTGCCGAGCTCCTTCATATTATGAATATACTCCCCTTCCTTTCACTTCATCACTCAATTAAAAGCCTACACGTTAGGCAAACAGTTCCCGTGGAAGGAGGCTGCTTTCAAGACTAAGCCCCAAGCTGTGGGTATTTCCAGCAGAGCTCCAAAATACCATACCACCACCCACTTCGAAATGGCCTCTGGCTCTGAAGATTTACCTAATTCAATTACACAAATGCCCCTTTTCAACAAAGCAGAGAAGCCTGTTGCCTCTCTCTATCACCTTGCCCATGGCAATTGCTTACCACCTCTTTTCAAACGTGCTATTAGAACTCATTACGAACAATCAGAGAACTCAATGGCTGCAGCTTTTCAGTGACATTAATGAACGACCCCTTTGAAACTGCAGTGCCACTGTTTAAAACAAAATGCACAGGGGCTGGACCACTGCAGTCCAGGAGTGTGTGGTTATTCCCAGAACTAAAGAGGCTCTGAGCGTGCTCCGGGAATTGAGCAGAGCCAGGTGACCTCTCCTCCTGCTCCCAAGCTGTTTGTTGATCAACAAATTGCAGTTAAGTTGACTCTGGCGGAGCCTCTCCATCCAGAGACTGTAAGTACAAACGGGCAGTACAAACGTAACTAAAAATAAAGGCAGCAAAACGTGAGTAAGGCACAGAGAACTGGGACGACTTGCTCCAGGTCACCTGGAAGAGCACCGCTGTCACCATCTGCTTAGGGCAGCTAAATCCTTCAGCACACTCCAAGAGAGCCAAGATGGAAGAGCATTTATTAAAAAGGCAATGGAAGAGAGCATAAATCTGCCATACTGTTTGACTAACTTTTTAGGAGCATACTAAAACACAGGCAATTTAAAAAAAAAAAAATAAAAAAAAAATTGGTCTATAACATTTCTCTCCTTCACTACCTGCTCATAACTCTCATCATCCCTAATTTATTCTTTCTTTTATATGCTTCCTGCATGCAGGTACTGCTGTACAATGGAACAAGACAGAAAACCACCTGAAGATCTGAGCAGTGGGGGGAAATCACAGCGGCTGCTTGCACGCTGGGCTCCAGCAGAGCATCATGCAGCCTGCAAAGGGAACCTCTACCGAGAGCACATCACACTGAAATAACAGCAACACTGATTCAAGTCACCAGAGATTCCCTGACACTTAAGCCACTGTTTTTTATAGCCTGCACATTAACTGATATTGCATTTGGTAATGTCTAATAGCAGGCACTATGGTGTTTATGGCCTGTTAGGAAGCCAGAGTTTTTCCCCCTCTCCCTTTTTCTTTTGGTCGCTCTTAAAATTCCTTCTGCTCTTGCTTTGGATGTGAATTCTTATAGGGTAAAGGTCAAAATTAAAAAAAAAAAAAAGAAATAAACACTAGGTCACAAAGTCTTGAAATGTTTGTAATTTATATATGGCTAAGAATAAAAATGTATCTGCCTTCTCTGGGAACACACCTACGTGTGAACAGAGACCTTTATAAAAAATTCTCCTTTATTACCTTGGTGGAAAAAAATATTCAAAGATTGATTTTTTTTTTTAATGGCTATTATTAACCTTTTGTTACTGGCCAAAAATAATCTGGTTAGAAAATGTGCAATACATCAAATAAAAAAAAAAAAAAGAGAAGAAGAATGTAACAGAAAGTTACTGTTCAGGGAAAAAATAAGATGACTCTCCCTTCAGCCTTTTCTTCTAAGGGTCAGACTTTACCTCCAAAGAAATGAGACAAGCATCAAAGCGAAGTGACTTTTCCGGATTTCAAGGCAAAACTGTTCTCACATTTATCTGACATGTCACTCACCAGCTCTGACTGAAAGGTGACAGCCTAGGCTGGCAGCGGGGCACGCAAAGTCACCCATTTATACTGGCTCCACCACCCCTCTTCCATGTAAGGAAAATCTTCTATAAAATCCATTACAACTGAAATCCCCAAGGTCTAAGCATGAAGATACATCTCTCACCAACTACCACAGAACCACACTTCCCAATATCTGCTCCACCTGCAATTCTGCCCAGGCAAAGGCAAGAAGGGCTTTTTAACAAAAATTTCATGTATGTATAAGTACCAAGATAGCTATTTGTAGTCTGTGAACGCTACAGGTCTGCTGACAAGCCTTCAGATTGCAACTGTACTTAAGGTCCACCACTTAGCAATTCCTGAAGCATTTATTGCAAGGCTGCTTAAGATCTCACTGGTAAGAGCTTGCAAATTTGTCAGCAGAGGTGTATCTATGTCCAAACTGGGCAGGAGAACGAAGCCAGTAAGCGCCACGCTGGTAAAGAGCAGTCAATCATAATTTGACAGAAATATGTTGGACAATTATTTCCGAACACGATCGCATTTACACAGGTCAGCCCTTAATTACAACAAGCTGACAAAACTGGGAGCGTTGACTCATGAGTGCAGGCAGACTCAAGCTGGCTGGAATGAACCACTTGCAAAGCAGTTGCTGAGCAGTTCACAACCTGGACTATTAAGGTACCCTAAAACTGCTGCTAGTTTAGCTCAGACACGTGGGCTGCAAACTGCAGTGGCTAAAAAGCCTTTTTATGTTCAGTTAAGTCAAATTGTGCTAGAAATGGTGACCCCCAAGGGGGTGGAAATGGCAAAAACCATTTGACTTTGCCCTCAGTCAGCACTGAGATCCTACTGTCGCTGTCATAGGCCCACCACACCATGACCTGAAGCATCACTGAACCCTACGGGATGCTCTCCCAAAACCAAGCATTTATTGGACCCTCTTCTGCCAGGCAAAGTGGGGTTCTCTTTCCATTAGTCCACAAAACTCTGCTAAGAGTGTAGTGTTATAAAAAATACACTGGAGAACGCACTTTATGTAGGAAGCTACCAAACACCTCATACACTGGAAATTCTTCTTGCCATCAGTGCCACAAGTCACACTGGAAACCACAGCCAGTGATCAAAAAAACTTTACTCCAGGGAGAAGTTTCAAAAGGAACTGAAAAAGGCCCCCTATGACTATATCTTTCATGTACCAAATTCTGTTATTTTTCCTAGGTTACCTTTTTGGATGTTCTTCTCTGTGATAAATGCCCTGAGAGAACTTGCTACAGAGTTTTGGAAGAATTCCGTTTCATTTGAAACATTTGGTCAGAAGGCTACGTAACACATCAACCAAATTCAACTTTTTATTCTTTTCTTACCTGGCTGTTGACATCAGCAGCATTCTGTAGAAGTACTGAAACCAGCTCCTTGTGTCCTCTGTCGCACGCCCAGTGGAGAAGAGCCCGGCCCTGCAACATCCAGAAGAAAATTAACAAAGCCAGCCAAAAAAAAAAAAAGGCAGAGAATCATAATCAATTAAGTATTGAGTACTAATAACAAAATTAATACAGACTTTTTAAAAAAAATTACACTAATATTAGCATGAAACATACTATTGCTCTTGATTTGGACTTAAAGACATAATCTTGCTATCAAGTATTGAGTACTAATAACAAAATTAACACAGACTTTTTTAAAAAAATTACACTAATATTAGCATGAAACATACTATTGCTCTTGATTTGGACTTAAAGAATAACGCTAGAAATGTTGTAAATGACAGATCCATTTTTCATTAATTTAGCATCAAACCCACAAGCCAGCAAAGATCTATTTTTCGTTAATTTAGCATCAAACCCACAAGCCAGCAAAAAATTTAAAGGGGAAAAGCAGGAGCCATGACGTGACTTGTTTTCCCATATAGATTTGGGATTTTGACACTTTTGACTTTTCTGGAAGCAACGACTTAACCCAGTACGGGTAAGATTTTTTCAATGCTGCCTAAGTCACTCAGTCGCCAAGACCCCAAAAAGTCATTCCTCTGGCAGGTCCGAAACCCTCAACCCATGGGTCCCACCTCGGCTGCAACAGGAGATGAAACCTGGGGGTCTGAGCAGGCATCACCCATGACTGTCCCCTTCTCAGCTCTGCAACACAGGCTGCTGCATCCATGCCTCCAGCCCCTCCCAGTTTTATTCCATCCTCTTTGTACAAGTCTCCCCACACCTGGAGTCTCTGTCACCACAGGAGGGGATGCAAGGCAGGAAGATCTGAACTTCCATATCAAGGACATGGAAGGTGGCATGGGACCCCTCTGAGGGTCCGATCTGAACCCCCAGCTGGCCTCAGAAAGGGCTGTGGATGTACTGAAGCACAGCTTTTGGGGTTGAGGTCGAGGTCATGCTCTGATTTTGGGGTAGAATGGCCAAGTCCGTGAAAGGTTGTTTTTGCAACAGGACATCACAGCAGAGCACACTAACAGCCCCGTGCTGAGGGTGGAGTGCTTGTCCTCTTACACTGCCAAAATGCATTCAAAGCAGCAACCAAGCCTTTTGAGAAGCAGCTCCAAGGTGTTTCCTATGAACCATACAAGCTTTTTTCTACATCAACTCCAAAGGGAAAGGTAGCTCAAAGTAGTTTTGAGATGGAAGGCTACATCAGCAACTCCAAAGGGAGAGGTAGCTCAAAGTAGTTTTGAGATGGAAGGTTTTCTTCTTTGTCGACTATGTACACTTAGTAAATTAGACTTACTGTCAGTACCAGTCTCTCCTGATTTAGGGTGGCACATGGCACACTTGCAGGGGATTCCTTGGAAATCACCCTGCAGATAACCAGAAGTCATCCCCCGGAGCTGTGACACCGTCAGACTGGCCTGTGTTTTCCAGGGCGCTACACAAAACAGTCACAGACCTTCACAGATGAAATCAGTCAAATTAGCCCACGCCTGGTTATAAATCTCTCAACGGAGCAGTGGGGAACAAGGTGAGCAACTCATTTATCTGCTAATGGGAACTGAGAGCCAAATTTCCTGACCACGGTGCCAAAACAGCAGGAAGGGCAGAAGTCACCTGCAACCAAAGCTCACGCTGCTTCTGCTGGATATTCTTGGGCAGGGCAGCAAAGGTAGAACATGATTTTGAGTAAGGAAGTGTGATCTCAGACACAAGGCATTAAGCTTTTTAACACACTTTTTGACCCAGCGTGTAATTAATTTTTGTAACACATAATCTTAATGTTACACTAATTAACCTTGAATTAGAATGAATTTTCTGACAATGACTTTCTATGGAAGCACTGATGACATCCACGGGCCATTTAATGATTAATGTTCTTGCACTCAACACCACTACCAAAGTCTAAAAGGGGGAAAGAGTATAATTTAAAACAATTGGTAAACATGGAAAAATCTTTAATTCATGTTTAGCATCCTTAACTCATCTCTGGACTGGTAATTACTTAAGATGTAGAATTTCAGTTGGACAAATAGCAACATTTTTTGTGCCACAGAAGTTTATTTCAAAAGAAAGAAGCACTATCTGCAATACGCATAATAGCAATAAATATGTCAACAGAGGATTTCAGTTTCTTTATATACGTGTAGAGGAATAATATTGTAATTACACAAGTGTAATCATTATGCAGTTACATGACAAAACAGAGGCATTTCCACCCTTTGTATCAAAATTCACATTAGAGATTAGTGGCTATAATATGTTGGTTTGCATTGTCTCTGGATAAGCAGAATCTCATTTTGCTGGTGCTGAACTTGGCTGAGGCCAATGCAGGAAAACCAGTTCTGTCACCCCAGGGGTACTACAGCACTGTGGGACTGGTCCCTTCCCATGACACTGGAAGGCTGGTTCTGCTGCAAACTTTGCCTTTTGAACAAGAAAAGAAACTGAAGCCCGATCATCCACAGTCATTAAAAATCTCCTCGTGCTATTTGCAGGAGTATGGATTTCAAGTCTTGGGCCAATTCCACTTTGGGTAATTACACTCTGCTTACCTATATATTTTCTCTGCAATTCTAAATGGATACAATATTTTCCAATTAGTGCCTTAAATGGCTCTGCATTGTAATTGTGCACTATTAAAAAGCTGACACGTTCCACCCGAGAAACGTCTGCAATCCTTGCAGCACGTTGTGCCCTGAACACAGGGTGTAAAGGGACCTCAGAAACCTTGTGCAAGAGCACACCTGCAAAAAAATCCCAACCTACTTATTGTATAACAACAAGCATGACTAAGAAGCTCATATTTAAAATAAGATAATATTGACTACCATCTGCATTGTATCAGACTAGTTAAAATGCTCAGGAATTCTAGCTAAGTTGCAGTTACAAAGTCCGCTTATTTCCCATGTTTTCCTTAAAACAAACCTCAGCAATAAGACAAACAAACTGAACATACAATTAAACTCTTTGTATAGCACGGATATGGCCTATACACCTATTTTGAAAAATTCTTTAGTCTGCAGAGCAGCTGCTTTGTATCAGCACGTAGCACGCGTCTGCGTGTATAAACAACATGGCAAAAATCACAGAATCAGAGAATCACCATGGTTGGAAGGGACCTCTGAGATCAGCAAGTCCAACCTCAAAAAAAAAAAAAAAAAAAAATCATTAAGGGCCACAGATTGAGCTTTCCCCAAACAGTTCCCATAGGACTATTTCATTAAGCAGTGAGAGACTCAAAGCAACACGAATAATTTCACGTTGGAAAGCGCTGCAGTAGCGAGGTCTTGACTAAATGTAATCAAACACCAAGGTACTCCCTCCATGCAATTCAAACACACAACAGTTGCTGCAGAAGCTACTTGAGAGGATGCATTTTTTTCCCCCTGCCTTTGAAGTATTTAATAAAAAAAAAAAAAAAAGCATAAAAATAGCCTCAGTGCACTAACCCTGCCTCTTAAATCTTCAGTGCTTTGCTTGGATAACCGCTGCCAGCTTGGCCAGCTTCTGCAGCAGTTTCTCAAGCCAACAGCACATCAATTTTGCTCAGCTCCAAGTCACAGGGTGTTCACAAACAAAGCACAGGACAGGGATTTGTCTCAGATAGACCGAGTCTCAGCAGACAAACGGATGGGAATGATTTTCACATCAATTAGCCAGTGCAGAGAAAGAGGAGAACAAAGCCAAACTGAACGGATGTGCTACAATATTAAGCTATACTTCTAGGCATGTTGTTTGCAGCTGTAATGGCTGTATAGCAATGAGAACCACTATAACTTGTGGCAAGTGTTTTATTACCAGTAATTAAGAAGAGATATATAGAGAATGGCTGCATCCCCCCGTGACAGCAAAAACATTGAATGGAAGGGCTGTTGTTACATTACACAGGTAAACTCCAGATTTGATTTGGAAGTCAGTCACTTTCAGAGCTCTGAAACATTGGGGGAAGTTTTTCTAATGGGAGTAAGCCTGTAAATCCAGAAGCATGCGATTCTTCTTCAAACTCATTTTTTCCCCCTTGTCCTTTCCTTGGCAAGCTGGCACCAATTTGGCACTTGCTGTCTCAAAAGCACGAGGAGCGGGGACCAAGCGAGCATCATTTCAGATGCCTTTCATTACAGTTTTGGCAAGGGCTTAAATGCTGCGCACAGGTAACATGTTTGTTTACTGGGATTTCTCCAGCAATTAAAAAAAAATTCTCTATCTACAACCTCCCCAGCCCTTGGCACAAATTGCAAAAGCAATTCATCTACGCCTTTGAGCTGTTGCTGGTTTGTTAAAAGTTGCAGAAACACTCTTCTCAAAAAAGGCAGCAAGCAATCCACACTACCAGGATGTGCCCGTGGCGACTTCACAGCCACAGTCCATTTCTTATTTCATTAGTCCTGCTGACATACGCAAGAGAAACGGCTTCTTTTAGTCTGTGCTACTTCTTCTAAGTGAATGCAAGCTATTCTGTTGAACTCTGGGCAATTTAGATACAGTAAATGGAAGCTTGTACATGATTACTGTCATTAGATTCTTTGTTTAATTCTAAATTGAAGTTTATTATATCCAAACTGTTAGCAGGTATGCTGGCTTGAATGCTCTACATGAAGATCTTTATTTCTTGTGGGGAGAAGACCACTTAGGCTTTCAAAGTTGCCATGTGCATCTACATCTAAAACCCCAGAGATTTCTCTTGCCCTTTCTTAAATCGCTTTGCTTCAAGTAAGTTGGCTTTTACGTTTTTATTCTTGATTTCTTTTCTCCTTTTGCTAACTTATCTCAGGTTTTCACAAAATGAGGGGATACAATTAGATACAGTACTAATGCATCACATAAAATCTAAACACCTTACAACCTAAGTCTTTATTGTAGAAGGAAAGGCTGAGGCTAGCATCTTTGCAGTTTAGCACGAGACCATTTGGTGCTTCAGTAGATTTTGTTTCATAACAAGTTAACTCTTTCTATGTATCCCTGCTGCCACTTTAAATTTATATGCATTTAAATCAAAGGACTGACAGCATGAGTTA